TATCTTAACAAATATCACAAAGTAGAGATGTGCATTGTACCAATTCATGACATTTAACTTAAATTCATGAAACTACAGAAAACTTGAGAATAAGAAAACTGGACTTTGTAATGTTTCTCAGACCCCACCTCGGTACTAAAGAGTCAAAATAATTGAAATCCTGCAGCAAGAGGGGTGCAACTCCATTTTTGACAGTTTTTTAGTTATGACATGTAATATTTGTAAAAAAATCTACATCGTTTGGTGCACGTTTGATGCAAATCCGATAACAAATTATAATTTATGGCAAATTTTGGACCTGCACTCATTACTGTTTTGTGCAATAGGAATGCAGATCCACATCTGCTTCCATGTTGCATTAAACAAAAAACAGTCACATCGTACTAAAAATACTGCAGATTGAAATTATAACAGTCACTTCATGTGATCACAAGATAAGTGATTTTGAATACAGAGAGAAGGAGATTCATGATTACTTAGTAGCACATTTTCAATTGCAGTTGTTCATTAATTACAGGTGTTCTTTCTTTATGTCTACAAGAGATGTCAACATATTTTTTCCATACTTAATTAATAAAGCAACAATAAATCAAGAAATTTTGTTCTTTATTATGCATATATAACAAAAGACGACTGTCTTTCGTACACTTTGATGCTAGTCGGGTGTAGCACCAGATTTAAAAAATTTACCAAAAATAGAAACAAAGACTTATCAACTCAATAATTACTGCTTATTGCGTGAAAATATATGTTTTACATTTAGAGTTCGTTTTTTTAATCTTAAATCAAAGCAATAATTTTATAAACAATTTTTTCTAATTTACTTCAAGTTGGTCAAAATCGAGCTGCACCCCTTTATCTGGGGAGGTCCCCAATTCAAATCTCACAGTGGCACCCTATTTCATTTGAACAGACAACAGCGAAACTACATATCTGACAATTAACCTGTCTCGTTCGCAATCACGCGGGCGTCCTTTTTTCGGATTCCGTCCACTTTAATAAAGCCGTTTAATAAATTCGTTCGACCAGTCGTAACTCATCGGTTGCACCTGAATGGCCCGCGAAATTGATGGAATCCCGGTGGGCGCCGAGGGGCTTCTCGACACGCGAACTTATTCCGTCGTCGCCAATTTCCGCGAGGATTCCTCGACCGGCGATAAATTATCCGGCCGGAGATCGCCACTTCGCCGATCGGCTGCTATGCAGATGAAACCTAAAGGCGGCCGCCTCCCCCCCTCGAGATAAGACGAAAAGTACACTCTCCCCTCACGGGGGAGCTTGAATAGCGGCGTCCTTTCGCGAATGTCGGCGATAAATTAACGATATCGATTTTACGTTTGCCACTGGCGATCGACCTGTTTGCTATCGAGAGGAAGCCAGGACGCAATATCGTCGCGGAGATCTTGACGCCATTTTGCGGACCGTTGAAATGGCCCTGCTGATCCGGATTAATCTTTGAATTTTACGCGTTAGTCCAGTGACGTTCGTAACATTCCAAAATGGCGCCTGAAATTTAAGGACCAGATTTTGGCCAATACTTTAAGGATGGGAAAGCTGCTGAGGCAAGTGTATTGATTAGGTTTATTCGAACTATATGTTTCTCTTAGATTTAGAATGTTAAGAAAGTGATTTGTCAGGAAAATTGAGTTAATTATATGTTGGCAGTAATCTTAGAGTTTTAGGCTTTTGTCGAATGGCGTACGTAACATTCCAAACTGGCGCCTGAAATTTAGAGAGCGGGTTGTGGTTTAAGTTTTAGCGACGAGAAAGGGTGCCGAGCCAAGTGTATTAACCCTCCGAACACGGAAACATGGTCACCGATCCCTATGTCATTTCTGACCCCACACCGATATTCTACTACTACACAGCGACGGCGAGGCTCGAGCTCGAGGCCCTCACCGACACTGTACTAACACAGTGCCAGTATGGCTCGAGCTCGACCTACCGTCACCATGTATACAATCTAATAATTAGCTGGTTCCACATTACATTTGGATTTTCATGGTTCTTATTACACTAACTAGAATCTCGTGAATTATAAAACAAATGATATTTATTAGTCAATACTTCTGCAGCGTCTTGGCCCGGTTGTTCGAATGTAAACAAACATCGGTCGCAATGCGATTTACGCGACAGCTCCGTCACTGCGTGCGCGTCGCTCTCGAGACCGTGTGTCCCCACTCCTGACTCTGTCACTGTGTGCGTGTCGCTCTCGCGAACGCGTGACCCAGGGACCGTGCCCGGAGGGTTAATTCAGTTAGTCGAATTATGAATTTCTTTCGTATTTAAAATGTTAACCCTTTCGATACTAGGGGCAACTATATTTGCTCTCCACGAAGTAACTACCGTGTACATTCAACAGTTCTTAAAGTGTTAAAGTACATGTGTCAAATTTTCTCCGTTTAAATTTTTACTGAATTAAGTTACTAATGAAGTTAAAATCTGAAAAGTCTAAATAAGAGGAAAAATTCCGTGAAGAGGATAGTTCGTCATTTTTCCGTGTTAAGTAGGTACACGGATATAGTGTTTTAAAAGTAAAATAGAACGAGACCACATCCTCATTACTCTGAAAATATTTTTTTGTGAAGAAAAGTAATTAAACTAATTTCCGTGTGGCGCGGAGTTCAAGCTCTCGTAATTATAACTTAATAAACCGGTACCGTCGGATTATAACGAAATTATGTCTTACAATTATGTTTCGTGGCTCGAAGTTAAGCACGCCTCTAGACCTGTTTCATTATTGGCAGCATTTCTGAAGTTATCTATCGCATAAGCAACATAAAAGTGATACAATTATTTTAGGCTAATTTCCACTTCTTCCGCATAAAGACTTAAAAATATATTATACTCATTGCTTCAAAGTCAATATACATATTTTTCATTTCACATCGTTCTGAAACACTATCCACTATATTAAAAATAGTCTATAAAAACATACATTTACACCAGCATTCAATCACCAATACAATAAATACTTCTTTAAATCTCTGCTACGGTATAATAATTTATAAAAATATGAATTCAAGTAAATATCCACTGGCCGATTATTAACATTAGAACTTTCCGTGTTGAATGTATAATAAATTAAATTGTACCTAAAATGTATATTTTAATTAAAAGGCAAAACCACCTTCATGATGTCAGTAATGGTAGAATAAGACATTTGAAATCCGTCATTTTGACGAATTTCATGGTTAATGATTCACATAATTACATTTTACTTCCACGTTGTCAAATTCAATCCAATAGTATCTGACGATATAAGAGAGACAAAGGGACTTCTTCAGACTCCTATGATCGCCAGGATCAACTCTCAAAGACAACCACGTATCCAAGAGTTCGCTTTTGTCGTCACAGAACAGTAGTACAATGAAGCGATAATAGGTTGGACTTGCGGCCAGTTTCTCGGTTGATATCATAGCTCACAGAGTCTACGGAATTCATGCAGGAGCCATTGTTCCCTTCAAACTAATAGTTTGTCTAGGTAGGAAAAAGGGGAAGGGGGTGGGCAATTTCGAAATAGGATAATCAGGCCGGGCACGTAACACGATAAACACACGTGTACAATCTAATTAAGCCCCGCGAATAAGCCCGTAACTGAGTATCGTTCATGGGAACTTCTAAATCTATTTAAAGCGTTGGATCCGATACTCTCGTTCCAGTTCGGAATTTCGAGTTGTAGTTTCCTTTGCCTGACCTCCGCCTTCTGATAGCGACTGATAACAGGCCACAATACTCGATGAACCTTACTCTGTAAATTCAGTATCGATTCTATAATTTGTTTCGCTGCATCTGCCATTTACTTTCGTTTGGAACTCAACCCAATACTGGCGGTTTCGGTAATTGCACTGACAATAACGCTTGGGTTCACTGGAACTCGTAATGTTTTCAAACATAATTGTTTGAAACTAAATGTATCCTATTAGAACTATGAGTTTTTATTTTGCACCTACAGTGTACTTTTCTTATTGGGTCCGAATACACTACATGCGTAATTGGACAAGGATGAATGACCTTTGATTTAACTACTGCTTAAACATTTCCACACTTATAAAGTATTTAATATATTTTATCTAAAAATGTATTCTTATTTTATTTTTACCAGCACTATCTTTGAATCATTATTTATGTTATTTATTGTATGACACAATTTTAGAATAATACGCGGTTTCTACCAAAAGTTTTTGAACTTGAATTAAACTAGCAACTTCTTGTAAAATATTATGGATTTTCATTGTTAATTATTTAATATAGTTTCTTTCTGCAGAGATACAATGTTTGCCATAAATATTGATACTTTGGGAACAGTTCTGATACATTTTCCTCGAGATGGTGGAAATAGTGATAATTGATACCTTTCGTATGTCTATAATTATGTATATCGGATTGTCCTCCTTTTATCCCCATATTCAACTTGGGGAAGAGAAATATTCATAAGAAATAAAATTAGACTGAAATAATGGGAAACCAAGTTATTGTATATATATTCTGAAACAAAAAAAAGTTCTCTCACCAATAACGTGTGAAGCCACAGGTTTCGATCGTCACTCTTTTTACCTCTTTAAAGTGTGCATAAGTGTTACATGCCTACAATGTATTTCTTCTGCAAGATACTCTATTGAATAATTTATAATAAGCGTCATCAGTATCGTGTGAAAAGTTACTAGTCAAAGTGCAAGTCAAAGGCTCTTAAAAAAATTACACTGTTCAAAAGAATTAGGGGATTGCTAATGTTGGCGATCCTGTTGCACCCACCAAACAAAAGAAACAAAACAATTACTACAGACGTGCTAAATTGTTATCTTTTCCGTACAATACTAACACTATAGACACCTACTTGTATTTGTACGTTGTTTGAACAGTGTACATAAGGCCATCGGATTAATTACAGGGTCGCTAGTGTTACTGATCAACACCCTGCATTTTACTCTACCTTCGTCAATTTCCATTTAAATCTTCCAAATGAATCACGATAAGAATACGTTTACCATCTGTTTCAGGTGATATCAGAGTACTGTCGGACTCGTTTGCCGTCGAAACCCTTCACTCACATAGTAATGGACATGCACCGTGAAGTAGTCAAGTCACCTCACTACGTGGCCCGGAGGCGCATAGTCTACCAGCACTTGAATCCACCGCCGCCTCCACGGAACCCCGTCGAGAGGCCAGAACAAAATCGTCGTCAGAGTAATTATCCTCATCATCACCAACGACCCCCGCACCATCTCGATCCGCTCCAATTAGTGCAGAGCCAGACAACAGGTCGTCATCAGCATCAGGACCGACCGTATCATTCGGCTAATCAGTTCGTTCCTCCTCCCCGGCAGACTCAACAGGATCGACTACATCGATCCCCGAGTCAGTTTCAGTTACACCAGCAGCAACACCAGGACCACCCGCAGCAACCCCAGATACCCAAAGCTCATCACTTTCCGCATCATCATCCGGCGAAGGGTGCTCTTTTCAAACTGCAGTCTCAAAACTCTCACTCGCATCCGAACCTGACGAGTCTCTGTGGCCAACAATCGCAACAGAATCGACGTCAAGACGTGAATTCGGAGGATCACAGGACGCAGTTTCAATCGCAGCTAAACGTGCAAGCGAGCGCACATCAGGTCGGACCCACGATTCATCATCAACGACGCCATCATCACTCCAGAACGTATTCTCAACCGATCTACACAAGACTGCAGCACACTCGAAGTAGCGGCAATTTACCGACGACGATCGTCGCCGAAAACAATCCCGGGGGGAACGTGTATAGCGATCCTATTTACGCGCTGCCTGTTAAACCCTTCCTGAGCTCGCAAGACGTCAGGGTGAACGGACTGTCTGTCAAGCCATCTGTCGGTCATAACGAGGATGTTTACGCAGGCACGACGATAGCGAGGTAGTGTTTCACCCTTTTTCTTCTCTTTTTTTTTCTTAATGATCATCGCAATTCTACTCGTAGCTGAAAGCGTTTGAAGAGCACCTCATTCAGGACAGTTGCCTTGCTTTTTATGAAAAATACAGGGGCGTAAGAAAGTTTTAAAGTGGAACATGTTAATAAAAATTGGGTATAATTCAGCAAGGAAGAAGTAGACTTTTCAACGATAGTACTTTGTTCAAGTCAGTATGAAAGTAGATGTAAAAAGTTATTTCCGTAAGGAGGGGTTTAAATACAGCTTTTTATTGCTGTATTTGCTATTGCAGCATATAGCCCTTTCTTAGATGTGCTACTAGCATTGGTACATTAATGTTAATAAGTTGATTATTTGTTTTACGATGTTATTATCACAGAGGAAGCTTTAAATATACTTTCCTCAAACGCACTTAAATACCTAGTACAGAAAATGAATAAGGTTTTCGAGAAAAATAAGCTATATGAAAATGATAATTATATAATGGAAGAAAATTTGACCCAATCGTAATAATTTTTTCTACAGAAAGCGTTGAAGTGTCAGCTTTCAGAATATGTACCATAAGTTGAGGTAATTCTGACTCACAATCAGTCAAGGTAACTTCGTCTCACAATCAGTAAATGATCGTTTTCGATTTTGCTACTTTTTGTAGGTAATTTTACATGACATACTTTTTCACATAAAAAGCAACTTAATTTAACAATTTGTTTTCTGACGTTTTCTGACTTAGGACAAAGTTATCCTCACTGACAATGAGACAAAGGTACTCCAACTTACGGTATACATTTTATTAGTTAAGAGAAAAAACAAAAGAAGTACCATTTCCTGCAGAAATTCGATATTACTTTTTGGCCAACCTAATATATTACTGTATAATTTGGAGTTTAGATATCTTAGATGCCATACGTTAAAATTATAATTTTTTTTTACACTCCCCTGTATTAACCCTTTGCACTCGAAGCTGGTTCAAATAGGGGAAGGTACCAATTCGAAGCTTGTTTTACCAATAAGAAATTAGAAACTCGACAAAATCTTTTAAAATATACATGTAAAGAAATAATATATTCTTTTTCCAAAATTTCAATGTTTAATACATATTTTTATTTTTAATTTCAATATGTGTGCTTGAAAATATAATATTTGAATTCCGTGCCTTACAAAGTTATTATCGCGTCCCACTTGTTACTCGAGTTACTACGTTAAATTATATGGCGACTGAGAGTCGTCTCTCAAGTGTAAAAAGTTAAAGCTGCAGTATTAAAGATGGCGAATTTTTACAGGCGACCATCTGCCGCTGGTTATTCTCATCCAAACATAGCAACGTCGTCGACAGATCGCGTACGAGACGAGGTTTACGGTAAATCAACGGGACGAACGCATCCCCCATTGCAGAGGCAATGCTCGAATCCTCAGCTGCCCAACAGGGATCAACAAGAGGAGGATTTCAAGCGGCCCAGGGAGCAGAAGTTCGTGACGGCCGATCACAGATATCTGGCCGCGAGAGGAAAAGAGGAACAACAGGCAGATCAACAACAAAATCCAGTGTCTTCCATGAGAGTCAGGAGTGTTCAAGGTCCACCGAAACCACCCCGAATAATCACCACCCTGAAAAAGGTCCCGTTCTCCGACGTGGAAAGCAGCAAATCGGAACCACCGGCGAAACCACCGAGGTAAGCTGATTGTTGCATTCCATTTATTATTATTACACTGTAAATGTGCATGCAATATCTTTTTTCTGTCAATTGAAGATTTGTACTAATAAGGAAACATGCTCAGAACGAAAATTGTTTTCGTTCAAACTGGCATGAATTTGTAGCGAATTAAAAGCTATTGAACACTTGTTTGTTTCTGTTAAAATAAATCTGAAGGGGTGAAATAGCCCCTCAAAATTCTCTGCTGGAAATATACTTTTTACGATTACGTATGAATTAATCGCTGTATCGAAAATGGTTCAAACGAAAGTTGCTCAATTTTTAACGTAGAATTATATGTACATATTAAAAAATATGTTATCGACGGTTTTAAAACAAAACCACCCCTCTGCAAGGATTTACAAATTTTTTGTAAGATATTGGACTATCAATATAAAAGTAAATTAATTCAAAGTTGTATGACAAGAGGTAATACAAGATACGAAACGAATATTTTAGTTTGTAGAGTTTTGTATTGCAATTAACGGAAGACACATGGAACATCTGTAACAAATAGGAAAACAAACTTTTGTATTTTCCTTGGAAAAGATTGATTGATAGATCACGACTTATGTTGATTAGACATTTTTTATCGTCCTGTATGATCATTGATCATTCTTACAGTTTTACATGAATATTTTATTATTATTGGTGATATGGCAGTGTATTAAATTAAAGTAAAAAGCGGCACTCAGTAGTCAAACAGTTCCCCGGATACTGCTACGGACTCCTGTCCCCATTATTAAGTTTGCCCGGAGTCATACGTCTGCGTTAATACATGCTTTCAAGCGATCTGGGTCGCACATCCGGGACCAGCTACCCTCAAAGAGAAGAGTATACTAAGAGTGTAAGATTGCCGGAGCCCAACAACCTAAGGACACAACGGCATTTGCCGGATAGAAGGCGCTTAAGTCGATCCAGAACCGCAAAGTTCTCCATTGATTTTGGATTTGCCTGACGCCTTGATGGATCTTCTTTGCAACGATTTAGAGTAGTTCAGTCGATGCTCTTACACGATGAGGAAATGAAATGGATTATTTGGTCTTTTCAATTATTAAGGCTATTACAATAAATAAATGAAAATAATATTTAGAATTTGAAAACACTGTAATTACGAATAACGTAAATATCGATTCTTGTACTGTTGAGGTGTCTGCCTGCAATTTCTAGTATTCAGAACGTATTTGTTTATAAAATCAGCGTGTTAAATATATTATGGTCTTTTGTACATGATTGTAGATATACAATACTCTTGACGACAACTTTACATTTTAAAGTAATCGTAATTTTGTAAGTATTGTACTTTTTATGTGTAACTTCAGAAGTCCAAAGAAAGTGTCTCTTAAATGATTACTTTAAGAAATATACATTTATTAAAGGTCATTTTGGTCGTTTGAATAAAGTTATTTTCCGTGGAAACAGATTTATATTCCATGAATATTAACCACTTAGTTTGTAACGTGACTGTTACCAATTTTTTAAAAATATTTTATTTACAAGGTGTCTATCGAACACGACAAACAAAACAGTTAACAGCGTGCTATTATATGTATAAAAATATAATCTGATTTTTATAATATCACGAAATTGACGTACAAGTAAATTTTGTATCATTGTTGTACTTATATTTAAAAGGAAAATATAATGGCTACAGAGAAATTATAGTGTCAGTATATGTAAATCCGTGAGAAATTTAATAGACCACTCTATTTGTGAATAACAGACTGTTATTCCAGGGGATGTAGATGAATGAAGATAAATTAAGTTGGACAAAGGTAATTAACTTGCAAGATATACAGAAAGCTATGTGAATGCAGGTGATCGTTTAAATTTCCATTGAAAACTTAATAGATCAATATGATTAACGAGACAGTTTTATTTTGTTATCCATAGCGGACATACAGAATATATATTTTATTATAAAAGCAAACGGTTTTTTTTTAATATGTTCGTAGAGACACTTTGTTACATTGTTAAAATTTATCAAACGATTTTTATTTAATTAATTTAATTACTGTTAGACTTTCACATAATATGTTAACAATCGAATCGTTCGAGTTCTAAACAAGACAGTATATCACATTCTAAATGTTTATTAACAATCTTTGAAATAATATTATTAACGAAAACAGACTTTAACAATTAACTTGTACATATTTATAGAATGTTAATACATATTGCTAATAATAATTTAGTAGTTATGTAACATTAATCAATGTATTTCACCAGTTTTATTGGTTTAAATTGTACAGACTTTATATAATCGAAAAATATTCAGAAACCTCCAGCAGCGATCAATAATCTTGTTACCTGGCTCGTTATTGTTGGGATAAGCCATTCAAACTGATTAATACAGTAATACGTCACCTTATCACTCCACTGGTCTCCGAAAGGAAGGAGTCTGCCACCTTCTTCCGCTATCAACTCCCCGCCAACAAATTGTAGAGATCGATTTTCGCCTGACAAGAGGGGGAGAAAGAGAGGAGGATGAAGAATACACGATCCTTTATCTCTGGTAGTAGTTCCTTCGCAAACTTCGGACCAAGAAACTGCAAAGAGAAAGAAATAGAAAATGTTAGCTGAAAGATGAGACGATAAAAAGAAATGGTAGGGCGTCAAAAAGGATTCCGTAGGACAAAGGTGAATTGTCTGACAGGGGGAAAATTAGAAGGAAATTATATAAAGAAAGAGTCTTACAACAGGGACAGATAAGGATAAGAAGACAGAAGAAAATCGTTGAACTATAATAGATATTAACCCCCGTGCACTGTTCAATCAACTATTGCATCACTAATCCGTACATTAAATTGAGACTGAATTAAAATCGAATTAAGGAAATATATGTGCCTATCTCTACATTAAATTTCTATAATAAAAAATACAATTCAGAATCAAGTAGTTGCTTGGGGTCAAATTGTTTATTTCAGTATTTATGTTGTTAATCTACTAACAACACAATATAAAAAAAAATATTGTTATTCATATGTATTCGTTCAGTTGATATTACAATTAACCCTCGCAATACCAGGGCGAAGGGGGTGTACACTTTATACCCACCATATTACAGAATTGCCTGAAATCCTATTTTTAGACAAGTTCCATATTCTTTACAAAATTACATATAAAATTGTTTATTTGCAATCCTTTGTTTTAATTTTAATGGTATCCGTTATCTGAAACCCTTTTTTCCCACGTATGTTCAAAACATGAAATTTTTTGTAAGATATTATATCTTTGTATTAGGTGGGCATAAAGTACCCCTCCTTCCGTGGTAGTCCATATAACAAAAAAAGGTTTGGTATCGCGAGGGTTAATAAAGTTTGTAGTTTACGATGACGTACATCATTACATGTAGTAACGCCAATATCGTACGAACGATTAATTGCATAAATCTGACCCAATTACTCTAAATTTGATAATTAAGACCAGTGTAGAGGAAAAGATCATAAATAAAAGTCTTTGTAAATAGGGGTGCTGCGAACTCAAATTTTGGGAAAACTTCGAAATAATCATATTACACAAAGTAGTCGAAAGAATAAGAGTGAAAAATGTGTAAAATCGGTACATCCAAGAAAAGAAGCCTGTCATTGACATTTTCATTATTCCATATCGTATTTTTATATTCATAGGATATATATCTATTAACAATGCTTTTAGAAATCTCGTGAAGAATGGACCCAGAGCCCGGCGCGGCAAAGCGGTTCAAAGGGCGCCTTCCCGCCTTTATAGAACAGTGGGCGGACCCATGAGGTCATTCAACAAAGCGCAGTGCGTTGGACCTGAATTCGTGGTGCGTGCCAATCAGCCACCAAAGATGTTATGTGTCGGTCAAGCGAAGGTAAAAAGTTTCTTTCACGTTTTTTTAATTATCTGATATTTAATGTTGACACTAAACTAATATTGTAGGGTTAATTCAAATAGTTAATTATCTTCATGAAACTAAATTTGCTTCTTATCAAATTGGTCAATATTATGAATGTTACAGAAAAGACATACTAAGTAAAAATAAAATGATTTTTCCCCCTTTCATTAGCTTCAGTTACTAAAACTTTTTTTTTTAAATTCCTCCGAGTATTTGTATATAAATGTGTCACATAATTTATATTCAATTTTTTAAATGTTTATCAATTTCAGTTCTATTTATTTTGTTGAAGCATATGCAGATAAAAAATATTAAAAGCAGTAATTTTCAAAAAAAAAAAATATTCCGGTACCGGGAATCGAACCCGAGCCTCCTGGGTGAGAGCCAGGTATCCTAGCCACTAGACCATACCGGAGTTGAAATGTTCATCTCCTTTAGTCGTTCAAATCTGCATTCATTGTTTATAATTATATTTGCATAGTACACAGTACTATTTTCTATTAAAAGCTAAAGAAGTATAAATATAATACGTAAGTTTCGAAAATTGTGTATTTCGACTTAACTAAATTAAAGAAGGTGACCACAAAATTAATAACATAAACATAAGCGCAAATAATTTAGGAGTTTTCTGTAATGTTTATTTAAAACTTGTTTACGTAACATTTTTCTGTAATGCTTATTTAAAATTTGTTTACGTAAAATTATTCATTTCCTTTCTTTAAATTTTATGAGATACAATGTATTGCAGTTACGCAGGTACTGAAACTCATTATAATTGCTATATATTTTTGTTGCGATCTTTACATTGTTTTTGTTCTTTTCAATATCCGTAAAGTATTAAGAAATTCATAGTGTCATAAGAATACCAACTATTGTGTTATTACACAGGTTACTAATATTTTTTCGACAATTATTAGTATTATTCTATATAAAGTGAAAATATCGTACAAACACTAATACATTAACGTCTTTAGGAATAGTATTTTTACCACAAAAAAAATAATTTCCGGTACCGGGAATCGAACCCGAGCCTCCTGGGTGAAAGCCAGGTATCCTAGCCACTAGACCATACCGGATTGAAAGACGTTTTTTTTATGCGTATTTACATGGTAACGCCAGGGAATAATAATAGTTTTATAATTAATTGTATTCTATATACATTAAAAAATTTATTTATTGTCGAAAACTTAATTTAAGAAAATAATTATTCCCTAAAAATAATTATTTCGTTGTCTGATGGATACATAAAATCAAGAAATATTCGATTCAACCACGTTAAAACTAAAATTAAAAGTATATACCAGAACTATGTAGTATATAAGAAAACCGAACCAATATTTTCCTCTTTTATACATATTTTTATTCTTGATATGAATTTTGGTATCAAAAGTTTCTGTCACTGAAGTGTAAAACTCAGAGATTTCAATGTCTTTGAGTAAGATCTTCATTATCTTTTCTTTCACAATTTTTATTAATATGTACAATATAACTATTTTCTGGTGGTTTTTACTTCTTCATTCAATTCTAATTGGTAGAATGTTAATTAAATATATATTGATGAAAACCACTTTCCATCAAAGAATGATTTTTAGTTTGCTTGGACTGTTTTACTATGCGGAATCTTTTTTCGCGGACCACATTTCTGAACATTTCGATAAAAAGTAACAATAATCGCACATTCAGCGAATTACAAAAAAAACAACGAACCAAATTCTATCGAAAGCTGTTTTAAGTCTATAAACGCTGCATGAACACATACGCCCACGTTTCTGATATTACACCCTTACTAAGGAATATCCAAATATAGTACTCAAAATACATATACTTCGTTACTGCATTCTTCTTTTAAAAGAAACCTTACGTTCAACAATTTTTGCTTAAATATCGCTAACTCTTATCGTACATAATAACTCCCCCCGCATTTTATAATAAGTACCATCACCAACGAGGTATAAGAATAGACCTTTCATCCATTATATTTCTTCGGCCCACTGTTCTGGGGTAATTTGCCCCATTTCCATTTCGGTGTCACCAACCACCGTAGATTCACTGTTCTCATAATGTAGAGGTCATTAAAATCACAGGATTTTTAAGGTGTCGGAACCACAGTTTAAGTGAGCCACTAACTCTCATACGATGAAAAGTCCATTCTTATACTTCGTCGATTGTACAATCATCAACTTATTCTATGCAATTAATTTCGGAAGTATCGCAAATTACACCTGTAAAATATTTTATTGTTCACTGAAGGAAACGCGGAACAAAAACATTATATTGAATTAATCAAAAAAATAATTAAAAAAATTTCCGGTACCGGGAATCAAACCCGAGCCTCCTGGGTGAAAGCCAGGTATCCTAGCCACTAGACCATACCGGAGCACGGATTCTCATGGTTTTATAAGCCGTATGTTAGTTGTACCTATCAAAATTAAAATGAAAAAAATTTCCGGTACCGGGAATCGAACCCGAGCCTCCTGGGTGAAAGCCAGGTATCCTAGCCACTAGACCATACCGGAGCACGGATTCTCGTGGTTTTATAAGCCGTATGTTAGTTGTACCTATTAAAATTAAAATGAAAAAAATTTCCGGTACCGGGAATCGAACCCGAGCCTCCTGGGTGAAAGCCAGGTATCCTAGCCACTAGACCATACCGGATAGTGCAGTCTTTAGCCCTTTATGCATATTGCATTGTTCCACTATACCACTATATGTATTATATAATGTAACTAGGAATTGCAACTAAAATAGATGGGGCAAAAACTTTCCGGTACCGGGAATCGAACCCGAGCCTCCTGGGTGAAAGCCAGGTATCCTAGCCACTAGACCATACCGGATGTTGATGTGACACTTCATTTACCCTTATGGCAATATGAAGAGACTATAAAATGCTCTATGTAAAATGAAATATTACTTAACATTTTAAAAATATTTACTGTTGACAATGTTTTATTTCTAACGGCTGCATATGGAATTGCATGAATACTATGTTTAAATTTTAATTAATAATTAATATTGGTGAAAAATATGAAACAAAAATTTACTTCTGAATGCGGCCTAAATTAAAAAAATGTTCTATTAATTCTAAAAGTACATTTTGGAAGTTAAGTATTAATTTATTGTAAAATGTAATATACCATTTGTTAAATTTAGAACGTGTGAAAGGGGCTTTTTTTTGTCATGATTGTTGCAATTAGAGTTGACACAAATGTCTACTAAAGCTACTTGGATTACTACATATTGTCTGCTTTGTGTACATTCTTTCTCTAATTAAAGTGAACTGTACGAAGACTTCATTTTGCAATATGTGAGAACGTAACGTGTATTTGTAATATTGAATATCAATAACAATTTGTTAATAGCAGGCTGGTGGTTGCGGACGGATAGTCGTGATAATGTTGACTGGTCAACGACTGGAAGTGACTTGTGATCCTCAAAAAGTTACAGCGGGAGACTTATTTCAGGTAATTATATAGTAAACAATATCTAATATGTTTATTATTTAGGAGATGATTGAATGAATTTCCTTCTTTTAAATACAACTTTGGTCTTAATTTTCAATAAAGTTGTGAATGTACCTTTTTCATACTTTGTTAAATTAAACACATATTTGCTTTTTTTTTTGTTGCAAACTATTAATCAATTCAGTCATTTCGGCAGTATACTCATATATGTCTGGCATTTCATAATATATTGATAACTGGTAACTATCAGCTGATTTATAAATCTTGTTCAGAAGGCATAGATGCTTCGTAACTCATAAGAAACTGATAAGATCTTTAAAACATACTTGAGCATAAAAATAAAATTTCTAGTATTAGAATGACTGCAGTAACTACTTTAAAGTTTTTAGTTTGCATGCAAACAAATGTTATAAATTACGTAAAAGTTCAGAAAATATATTTCTTTGCAAGTAATACAATTAATATTGCATCAGATAATTTTCATGTGGATTTCGATATAATTATAATTGTTACTGTTATCTACATTCTCAATATGAATAATTTATTTATCAGTTGATGTACAGACAGCGTTTGAGCTATATTATATTTTACATTATTTATCTATAATGTATATCTTGACTTAAACGGTCTATATGTTTGCTCTGAATAATTTTACTCTAAAATATTATTAGAATCCAGAATTCTTTCAATTTCTGCGATAACACATTTGTGTTTGAATGACGTCATGGTACATTAATTTTAGACATAGTGTTTGTGAATAAAATTTCAGTCATATCACGTTCTTTTTACGAATCGTACGGGTATCTAGAATTACACCATGAAGTTCAAGACGTAGACGGTTATTCACGAGACCACAAATTCCGGTGTGAACTCACGAGAAATTCTGGCATTCTGCCAAGATTAATCGTTATATACGACAAATCCACAAACCGTGAGTTATGCAATACCAACGATTATCGCGTGGTCAGTGCGAAACAAGCGTCAATCATTTTGAAAGATCTAGTTTCCATCGAGTAATCGGTTTAACTGACCTTTTCGCGCCTTTATTTTCATGTTTTTCACATTTCCATTTTCATATCATATTTTCGTCACAACTGTCTTATCATTGTACCGTCTTTCAGATACGATTTTACTGCTTTTTCATATTGAAATCAGAAAATAAACCATGTTTAAGCCTGTATACCTACGTTCATAAATATTAAAACGATTCTTACAAATACCAAAAATTAAGTAATTGAAAATGAAAAATTTCAAAAAAGCACTAACGTTGATTTAGAATCATAGAGCCTGTGAATTCTGTGATTCGATGGAAAGAAGATAAATCTTTGATTGGAAATAGGTAACAGGTTTTTACTTCAAATAATAATTGAAACTTTCATCGGTTTTAAAGTTAAATCAAAGATTTCAAGAGACTATTAAAGATTTTAATCTATCGATCCTTTTGTTGACGGACTTGACGGTTCGACGGCAGAATAAACTCTGAGATTGAATTAATATACAAGGTGCACTGTAAGTACTGGATTAAACTTATTTCTGCACAATGAAAAGTTTTCGGAAAAATAGAATTTTCAAATTTACCTGGTTTGAGTCCACAATATGTACCTGATCAATACAAATTACACATTCCTCTTTGTATTGAGATAAACTTTTCTGTTTACCTATTTAATTCTGTTTTTAAACAACTTTATAACAAAAGTTTTGAATTTGGCAATTCTAAATTCTTTTACATTCTTTTATACGAATAAATCACATTGTGATATCAACAAATCTTACAGTACATTACTAAACTTTCTACATTATCACTAATTCATTTACCACAAATTAACAGAATTATTAATTACCTCATATTAACACTGCATAACAAATAACTAGAAAAACCATTATAAACGAAATTCATGTTAAAGTTTTAATGTAAAATATACGGTTACTTGAAATCAGAAAATATTCCTTAAACAGGAGTACAGACCATATTCATTACTTAATTAATCCTTTCTGTTCGGTTAATTTCATTTGGAATCCTTACTTTACTTAACGTTTATAACTCATACTATCAGTCTGAAGATTCCATGTGGCATAATTGAGTAATTAATTATGGTGGTATAATAAATAATTCAGGGCAGGAAAGTTTAAAATAGAACGTATCCGGATATTTCGAAATTCGGATATTCTAAGACCTGATCGACTCACCACAGTTTAATAAATGTGTTTCCCATGCTTATCTAATCAAAAGATGTCTTTGATCTCGTTGTAACGACTTATATCGTGCGCCCCTTGGAAATGATTTCAGGCTATCGTGCAAGCCGAGAGCCTCGACGAGAACTTCACCCTCGGTCTAGCCGTCCTGTTGGCTGGTGATTTCGCAATTTTACCCCCTGAAACTAAATTGAATAAAGTCGCACCACCGGGATGGCTGAGCAGTGGCAAGAATAAAGGTCTCCTGGGACTTCCGACTAGTTTTATGCTGTACTTGAGACTTAGGTTCTTTCTACCCTCTCTTCGGGGCATAAGGTAAACTCTAAATACTATTTCGTAGTTACATTTAAATATTTAGTGGCGAACTATTTCAAGATTTATCGTTTGGTTATTACATTGCTTGGTAGACATCACTGTAGCCAAACTTATAGTGTTTCTTTAACACCCGTGAACTGTTCAATAATTTATTGCATTACTATTCCTTCAATTAAATTAGACCTGAATTAAAATCTAACTAAGGAAATGTATTTCTCTATAGCTGGGTTATAAACTGCTGGTGTCAAATTATTTTACAAAATCCTATGATAGAAAATATACTTAAGCATCAAACTTTGACTTCGGGTTAAATTGACACAAACGAGTCAATACGAGGGTTAATTAATAAGAGAACTAAACAATGGTTTTTTAAATATATGTAGACAAGGTGTTTGGGATTTATATTATCAAACTTTTCTTACATACTGTGCGACATAGACAAAAATTGTTATGGAAATGTAGGTCTAGAAATACTTGATTAAAAAGTTTTGACAAAAATGTTAAACGCGAAATACACCTAGTATACATATTACGACGTTCAGTTACATGGGTGATATATGTCTAGTTTCTTTATTCTAGTATGACTACAATTTTATGATTTTTTGAAAATCGCTTAAAATCGCTTACTATTATTTTTTTAAATCGCTGAACGTGATCAATATAATTTGTGTGGGTTTACCATTCCCAATATACACGCGAACCCATAAAACAAAATTAAAACATAAGAGTGTTCTCACCATTGTTTTCCCGTCTAACATTTTTTTTCATGATTTTTGAATATAACACATAAAAATGTTTATCGAAACTGTAAAAATACAACAAAATTTCAATCTATTACATAACATACGACGTAATCTATTACATACAATCTATCAACTATAAATGCAATTATATTGAAAAGAAAAATTTGAATCTTTAACCCTTAAATCTGAAGCACCTTGAACACATTTTACATGATGATTACTTTTGCTTGCATAATTGAGTCGTTCACAAGTCAAAGTGACTTTGGACTTTACCAAATTTCATTGCCAAATCGTTTGACGGGTGCTTAACTCCTTATATGTAAAATACATTTTTTAAATAATTTTTCTGGTGTTAATCACTTCGACAAATGAACTGGTCAGTTATGGTATAAGCATATGAAAACAATAGAAGTTTGTAAACATTGTTCATATGTTGTTTACTCGTGGAATATTCATTCAGGAGTTGGATATCGAAGCATCTACTGTATTTACAAATACGAAGGTGTATATTGGAGCAACAGCTGGTGTGTCCGTGCCCGGAGTTAATTAATCTGACTGGACTAGCTCTTCAGGCCGAATTCGGAAATTACAACATGAACGTGAGTATATCACTAATTTGCTACCGTTACGAGTACCGATGATATTAACTGTCAACTCCGAAATGAACGAAGATGTCAAATAGATGACTAATGTAGAAACTAATGTAAAAATAGATACTAATGTAGATAAATAACTTGATTATCTATCAACATGTACGTTTACATAACTCGACTTTCATCATGCATTCATACATATGTACATCAATGTTTAAAATTTTTTGTACACCCATCAATTATTGATATAGCGTTGATATGTCATTCATACTTTCAGAAACTTCTTTCTAGACCATATTTTTTATATGACCAAGCTGTACATAAGGAATTTCTCTAGAATGTACAGTTTGTGGTAAAATTTGTTGCACAAACATAACAAAAATAGCTCTCCGTGTAAGAAACAAATAAAAAAACATAGAATAAAATCTTTTTGTGCAAAGTTTAGTTTTTAAGAAAACTGATTTTGCAAATACATCTGATATTCGTACTAGCAATAAATAGAAATGATAAACAATGAGAAGACATGTTGCATAATATTCTCGAAAATAAAAAAGCTCCATATGGAAAAATTTTATTGTAAATAAAACATTTCTTTTTACATGCAAAATCATTTCCTTGTCGGTTGTATCATGAATTTTGTCGCATACTGTATTACAGAGTTTTTCCTTAACATTTTATTATTGCAAAACGTACTTCTTCTTTGTCAAATTATATACGTTTTTGTCAGCACTTTATAACGTGGATATAAAAGTCGTGGATTACATTCTCTCACTTTTCGCTGTCGCTGAAACTCATAACTTAACAAAAGCAACGACAAGAATTTGACATTTTTTGTTCTCATTTTTAACGTGCACGATCATTTAAACATCATACTGTTGTTTAATGGCTGAATATTAATATCAGCTATAGCAAGTCAGAAAATTAATTATTTATATGACTTGAGAGCTCAAAAGTCAAGAAAAAATGGTCTCGAAAAAAAAGCATTCCATATCACAGCCATTTATATTTTAGTGATCTACTTCAACAGGCACACTTTTTACGACATTTCTATGCAAATAGTTCTAAAGATTTATATAAAAAGGAGCTTTAAAGCACACTCTCCTACGGTGCATATGTTGGACTAATAGAAATTACCATCTTAAATGCCTCCAAACTTATGGAGATGAGAGAAAAATGTTTCTGAAAATATTTGGTCTGCGAGAAAATCGTTCCAACCAAATGACGACCTGTTTCATACTACAGAATTTCTGTTTGACTATTTTTCCCTTAACACATTGCCTATCAGCGGGTATTCGATAGTTTTTTTAGATCCAAAAATCGACAGGCAAATACCTATCAATAAATTATTCACTCACAGTAGGAGTTTACCATGATGAAGCAGCAATATAAAAACGTAATACAATTTATTTGTTGGTAAATTATTAGGCTTCTAACAGATAAGCATTGAGATCAAGCAATCTGTTAACACTATGAGAACCGACCACGTCACAGTGGCGTCATGTAACTACCAACTGTCAATGGCCGATGTCAGGAAACTGGCGTCATGTGTCAGCTGGTACTTTCCAGGTGTTCAAAGTTATGCCCTTTTTCACATCCATAGCAAAAACCATATGCTATTAATTTTCAAAAAACAAAAAAAAACAGTCAACTGGTGAAAGTTACTCGCAAAACTGATCGTTCCTCATAGTCTTAACAGGCTTCCAATTCAGAAATGTATTCATTTCTCCCCGTAATTCAATTTCAATCAATCCACCCTATATTATTCCCATCTTCTCGTAACAATTAACATTACACATTTCCATCTAGGAGCACGGGTGCGGCGATTATTTCCTCTTGGAGCACTACGTTCCCGAGTCATTGATCCTGAACATAGATCAGCATCAATCGCAGACGAACAACAGTGGTACAGACGCCCTCCGTGCCCGGCTCCATCAAGCTCACCGGGACCGACGTGGCCTCGACTCGAACAAAGCCGAGGAGATGTTCATAACTCACGCGCAAACGCTCGCGGATTACGGGTCGCACTATTACATCGCCACCGTGGACTCGAAGGAATTAGAGAAAGTGATGGCGCAGCAACGTAGGAGGAACGCGAGCAGCGATCGAAACACGTCTGACAGGCTGCTCGAAGGCGCGGAGAGTAATTACAGCGGGGACAGGTCCCGAGAGTATCCTATTCGCGGCAGGATCGAGATCACGCGATTAGGATCCTGCGAGAACCTACCCAAGATCCCTTACAGCGGGGACGAAATGAAAACACCACCGGGTCTGACGAAGAGCGCCACTTCGGGCGACATTTACGGCGGTAGCCAGAAGTCCAAGAACCGTCTCGAGACTTGTAACAACAATAATAATATTAATAATAACATGAATCACGGGAGCAAGAATGGTAAGACGGAGAAGAGCAAAAAGAAAACGGAGAGCAATGTCTGGCTGGCTATCCACGCGCAGGGATTGAAGCTGTTCGAAAGAGGCGGCGAACCGAGAGAAAGGATCGAGCTGGCGCAGTTTCAGTGGAAAGACATTCAGACGTTGAGCTACAGCAAAAGTTGCCTGGTCGTTTACAGCAAAGTGAATGGAAAACGGTGCAAGTTTAAGCTCAGAATGGACCATCGAAAGTAAGTCATTGGTTTAATTGCCTGGTTGGTTTCGCGCAAATATGGCTTGAATGAAAGGGGCTGTGAATCGGGACTCTAAAAGTACGGAGCGTATTCAAACAGATGTCAGTGATGTTTCTTCTTAGACGTGTGGTTGAATGATATCGAAAAATCAAATTACCGTATTCAATCGGATTGTTCAGAATATGAAAACGTTACGTTTGTTTAGCGTGAATAGAAAATAGCGAGCGCGGAGTAGAACGCTTTAGGTTTTTGCTTTTAAGTGGGATTTAAGAGAGAATTTAATGTGTGGCACAAGACGTCGGGCGACTTCTAATTTTAGAGGATTTCTGTGTTTCAGAAGTTACTTCGCTTTCAAGCTAACCTCCCTGCACCATCAGTTCTTCTTGAGGCTTCGTTCTGAACTTACGTCGCTTCAAGGACTGGCTAAAGGTATGCATCAACTTTGGCTTATATAATATAAGCTACTTTGCAAACATATATGCTAGCCGAGAATTTATTATATTGGGTCAGTGCAAATATTTTGATGGGTTTTGCTCTAAAAGAGTAGACTGATAATGATTTTAATTACAATTTAATAATAGTTTTATGAAATACGTAATGATTCTATTATAACATGTGTATTTTCAATAAGAATTTTTATTATAATAAAAAATTGGGAATATTATTATTTATTGAATTTATATGATTAAATTATATTAAGAAATTGACGGTTTAGCATAGAATGGGCTGTTCCAAACAGATCACAAATTGTTTTTCACGATGTTTGTAACGTTTGTTCCTTCCATTTTCAAATTTTTTCGTTTTCTTTATTTTTTTTTCTTCTTTTTTTAACACTCCGCAGCAGTGCTGCCGGTACAGCGGTATAGCACCGCAGGCAGCTCCGCCGTAGCTAAAGAGTTAAGGAGTGCGCAGGCTACCCCCGACGCTTGGGAAAGTCGCGAGACGCTAGTTCTTTCCGAATATTGTTTTTTTGGTTTTAATTATTATTTGTTACATTATTTATGTTATTAAATCATCATTTAATTACTACTCAATTATTTGCTTATCCCACGTCCAATCCACCTCACGATAAACCAATTAGGAATGTTTTGTATTGTGGAGCAATTTCCTAAAAAAATTAGTATCAATTTTTTTTCGTAGTACTAAAATTTACTGAAAATTTTTGCAAAACGATATTTCATCAAAACTATGTTAGATCAAAAGAAATCGTCCAAACGGAGGATTTAATTTTTTGTAGACCGTGTACATTCAGAATCGTGTAAAAACAGAATTAAAAATTCCACGAAAAAAAAACGAATTACAGAATTTGGAGTTCCTACGACGTTGGAACCGAAAGCCTCACCGTCAAAGACGAAATCCCACGACGGCAAAACCAAGATAGCCATAGCAAACACCGTGAAGAATGCGCAACTGAGACCGAGTTATCCGATGCAACTCGAAGAATTCCAGAACAAGGAGAACGAGAATCCCGCGAAGGATGCTAACGCGCTATCAAAGCCGAAGGATCCGCTTCGCGAGCCCGGTCCTTGTTCGTTCGAAGAGGACGCGCTTTACGCGCAGGTGAACGTTCGATTGGAACCGGAAGGCGAGTCCCGTGACACGGAGGACGAATCCGAGCGAAGTTTAACGACTCCCAACGAGCCGCTTTCGTTGGACGCGAACGGAATGAAAACCAACGGACAACTTTACAGCTGTCCCCGGATCGACCTGGCTACGGACACGGAATTCGGTTATTCATTGCCGAAAATTATGTCCTCGAACGACGTTGGTCAGTTAGAGAAACCAGAGAATCCTGAGGAGCTGTATGCTGCGATCAACAAAGTTGGAATCACGCGAAAGGTGGACTTTCCGGTACCGGAGGAAGTGTGGGACGTGACGGACGTGAAGAAGTCGATACACAAGGTATGTGAGCTTTTATTATATACAGGGTGTAACAAAAGTGTCGTAGATCCCTGAAATGGGTCACTCGCGAGGTGATTTGGAACAAGTTTTTCCTTAACAAAAATGTTATCCGTGGCTTTGTTAGCTAGATATTAACGGATATTAATAAGCGTAGCGCGTAGTCAACGCTACCACAGGAACTCGGCCAGCAGAATCACACTCTGATAGGTCAGGGTTTTTCGTTAATATCTCGTTAACAAAACCTCGGATAACATTTTTGATAAGGAAAAACTTGTCCCAAATCACCTGGCGAGTGACCCATTTCAGGGACCTACAATATTTCTGTTACACCCTGTAGACATATCGGTCTATGAAGATGGCGTTTATACAGATGTTAACCCTCGGAGTACGGACGTTTTTAATATTCGTAGAGACAATGGTGTCTGGGTCCGTTTGAAACCCTGTGCTCCTTCTTTTTAAACATACTTTCGAACGCGATCATTAAACGAACACTTGCTTTTTTTGTACGACCAAACATGAACAACTGCTAATTTAAATTGCATTTACAAATCGATGAGTTATATATGGTTGTTAAACACTCGGGTCCACATGGACTCGGGCACCGTACTCCAAGAGTTAACAAAAATATGGAACACATTCGCAGGATGGGTTCGGCGTGCCAAATTAAGATGAAAATCAAGAATTACGGAATGGCGTTCGAGGCTTCATTTCTGAGTTATTAACCCTCATCTTTCAATTTAACACAGTGGTAAAAAATTAATACAAGAAAGAGATAAGTAATTAAATTTGCAAATTCTTTAAAATAACAGTCACAGGGCCTCAAATACATTTACTTACATATGACAGAATAAACATCATTTCTTAGGAGAAAAATGTGTCAAATTGGCAGAAGGGACGGTTGATTGCTGAAAATACGGGTAAAGATACTACTCGAATTGCTAATTTCCAGCTGATACACATGCTCGATCGATGACCTTGTGAAACTAATGACTTAAATAAAATCAGATGAATGAAACCAACTCGTGAAACAGTTAATGAGTGCGCTTCTCAAGTAGGATAATTTGTCACATTGGACATATTTTATGTGTATTTCGCCCATATTTTCTACAATTAATACTTCGAAAACAAAGTCTTGAACCCAGTTCCGTCATTCTTGAATCTTGTCTGTTAGTTTGGCATCTAGAATCCACTCTATGAAATTGTCCCACATTTTTATTAACACTGTATTTCACTATTTTTGTTAATCTTTAATCGAACAGGAGACGTCTGGGAGACTATCTAATGCAGGGGTGTCAAACTCATTTAAATCAGGGGCTATTTGTCTAACAAGTAGAATTCACGCGGGCCGCACAATATGTATTTATATTATTTAGTTATTTTAATTTTTAAATTTCATAGTTTCACCGAACAATCATAGTAGAGGTCTCGCTATGTATTATATACAATGAAATTTAAAATTGCTTATATTTTGACAATATATTCAATTCTTACAAAATATAAGTCGCTGCGGACCACAAAAATACACGTCGCGGGCTACCAGTTTGACACCCCTGATCTAATATGTATAAACTATCAGATATTTCTTAAACGGAACCACCCATAATCTCGTTAGTTTTTCGTAGTGCCTAATAGGAATACTTGTAACTTGCTACTACATATCAAATGATGTTTGTAAAGATTTGTATCGTTTCATAATTCCTTTAAAAAAAGTCATCTCTAGAAGGCACATGACCGTTTGCGCAGAAGATTCTAACATGTCCAGTTAAGGATTAAATGAAAATTCGGTTTATTCGAACAAGTATTTAGTTTTAACATTTTTGTAAGAATTATGGATTTTATTTTGGTGAAGAAGCCGGTATTATTTAAATGTTTGTAAGAATATTTAAATTTGGTTTATTTAGTTTGAATTTCTTCTGTGAAAGAAATGGTCTGTACGTATTTGTCACGAGAATATCAGTGATTATTTGCACAGATTTTTGGGAAGACGTTTAACTCAAAAATGATTAACCATATTCTATCAAAAACGACACAATGGAATGATTTTGATTCAAATCAGAAGTTATATCAAATTGTCATAAAATTGTTTAAGATCTTTTTAATTGAATACAGTAATTTATTTTTCGTACAGACATATTGAAATAATTTTAATTCAAATAGTCCCAAGTTTTATAAATTAGACGATTCTTAACTTTGGTACATCTATATGAGATGAATTACAAATATGCAATTTTCAGCTTACCAAGATTTATTAACAGAATTATCACAACTTAGACTTGAAATATGCATTTATATTGTATATCGTCTGCCACTATGAATGTATCAGTACGAGAGACACTTTAATACAATAATTCTAATGAAAAGTCTGCTTTATTCTTAATCTAAAAATTTTGTCATTAATAAAATAAATTTCAATTCAGTTTCTCTTCTTCCTGAATGTAACTTTTAAAAGTGAACATTTATATAAATAGTCGCATTAATTATACACTCCAGTAAATATTCGACATTACGCCAAAAAGAGCATAAGCTACAACTTAAAAGAGACATTTCCAATCATAAAGAAATACTTCTACGGTCTCATGCCTCAAAGAAACAAAACTGCTTACAAATGTAATATAACATTACCGTCGTAAGTAACTTTAGTAGTTGATGCGACGTAGAAGAATGAAGAAAAAAAATCGTAATCTGTTTGTAGTACAGTCATTATAATGTAGAAATAATTTTTTACATTGAAGTTAAAACGAGCTGCTGTATTTTTTTAGATGAAGACCTCGAGTTTACCGAATTACGGAACACCCAGACAATCGGGCGGTTACCGCACACCCAGTTTACCACGGCGTCTGGGGGTGAAAATGGGTACACGAGCGATCTACAGCAGTCTCGTACAGAAAGACACCGCTCTTACCGACGACATGGAGTCACTCTCGCTAAAATCCGACACGGAGTCGTCGATTCACTCCTTATCCGGTCGGTCCACGGAATCTCCTCTACCGGAAGCATATGTGCTCAGTTAGTAATCGTTTTATCTACATCCGAAACAAAATTTTAAACACGCCTTGGTTCCATAATTTTTTTCCCATGGTTATGTTATCAAAAATTGAAAGATATTCACTCTTTATACCGAAATTACTTATTTATCTACCAAAAGTCTGTTACTAGAAAATGGAAACTCTGTTGATAAGTAGGATAATACGAGATTTCGATTTCAAATTGCCAAAGTTTGGAGAAATGTCTCACCAATACAAAAGTACAGATATCGAAGTTATTGTTTTTATTTATTGTTTTTTGATCATTAGATTGCATGCACTTACAATACACAAAGATATGATCGACATGGTAAAATAACAGATTTTATAAATATTAAAGAATATTTTTATCTTATTTTGAATACAGTATCATCCTTTACAGACGAAATAAATTTTTGTTTAATGCCAGTTCTGGTGAATTAGCATATAATATATGATATTGCATAAACATTTACAGCCTAATGCTTAAATTTTAGTTAATTGAAATCGGTACAATAGGGACCTCTTTTGAAGCTTTGCAATGCTACATGGTACTCATGTGGTACTCAAATGTTACACAAATGATACTCAACACTCATGTCACAGATCAGAATGCTATAAATAACCCTCCAAACAAATATAAACAATCACTCAACTAAATTGTTTAAAAAAATGTATGTTATAAATTTCCAAATTTTTGTCTAATGTTCGCATCACAGACGCTGACATCCGTACAGACGACGAGACATTCCACGTTACCGAGAACGAGTCGATGTCCGTTTCGTTGGCGGCGCGTCTCGAGGAGTTGTCCTTCGCCGAGGAACGAATTCTGCAGACGATTAAATTGGAAAGGGGTCACGGCGGCAGTATAGGGTTGCAAGTAACAGAGGGTAACGACGGTGGCGTTTACGTTCAAGCGGTGTCTGTCGGAGGGTCGGCCGATATGGCCGGGAACGTGAACAAAGGTATGCTTTGAAACACCCATTTTTCACGGGGTTCGCATTAATTCGATGAAATTTATCGGCGGTAGGCGATCGTATCGTGGCGATAAATGGGCAAAATTTATTACACCTCCGTTACGAGGACGCTCTGAAGATGCTGCAAAGCTCGTCCGACACGATCGAGCTGGTCCTCTCTCAACCTACCTCTCGCAAAAACGCTATCTCCGGGCAGAATCACGAACAAGCCACTGTGGAAAACAATTATTTGAAGTGAGTATAAACTTTTTTTGGATAATGTTCTTGTTGGCGTTTTTCATGCTTATTGTCTTTAACACATTCACTGCCACAGTGTTTAGTATTTGGATAATAATATACATATAATACTGAATATAATGTGAAGTGGTATAAAATACATTTGTTTTTGTCTTTGTTATTATGGATATACGTACGTACGCGTTGACTTGAACCAGGGGTTGTAACGGTTCCGAAAATATCTGTTTGGAATTATTATATGTCGGTTCTGACTAAAACAGTCATGAGATCCGAAATGATGTTATAACTGTTGTGAATATAATGGTTCTTGTTCATATTGGTTTCGATTCTTCAAAGCCAGTATTATATATATATGTATATATAACTGTTATTTTTCGATTCTATATGTATAGGTCCCAAGACGGTTCTGAAATCGATACTTCTATTACATTCAATCTTAAATAAATAACTTATCTAATGTAGTTAAATCATTTTTCTTTAATTTTTGGATAAACAAAATGAAAAATGCATTATTTTAAATTACAAAGAAATAAATATTAAAAATATTTTAAAATGTAAATTTTGTAAATGTTTTAAAGTTCTAAAATTGCAAAATTGTACATAATCTGCAACAGTAATATTTAGAGTTTTCAGTAACTGCAAAGTCGATACGATTATCGATTCCAGAACTGTTTTGGATCTATATGTATAGAACCAAAAACCAACAGTTATGAAACCGATGTAGAACCGAAAACTAATAATTATGGAACCGATATCAAACCAAATTATTATTGGTTTTGAGGAACCGAAACCGAAGTCGATATAAGCAAACACCTCTTTGCCTATAAGAGTTATAATATTATTTCCCTTTTTATAATAGATTTTTAACAAAACAGATCGATCTGTTTAAGGTATCACTATCATTTTAATGAATATTTTTGAATAAATGTAATAATCATCTGCACAACGAATTGTGCAGAATTAAGATAGTATAATAAGGACATACGAGGAATAAGTGAATTCAGTTTGTCTATAGTCAGACCGAAGATACACTTCATACATGAACCTTCCAGTCTTCTAGTAACTACAAAAACTACTCCTCTTAATTAAATTAAATATATTTAATTAATAATTCATAAATAAAACAGATTCTATTTTCAAACCCATGCGCACGATACCTGCCAACGTCACCTTAAAATCAGACTTCGTAAGAAATCAGTAGCAAATTTAATTAAAGTTGTAATTAAGGTAAATAAAAAGATATAGTTATGACGCCCCGCTCGAACAGTATAAAACAGTAGGAAGAAAGCAAACTCGCATTTTTTCGTTTACAATACTTAATCCACCAACCACGTTGATCTTTTCGTTCTTTCATCCAACTGTGGTTAAAAGTTTAGCGGAACAGAACAAAGTAGCTTTTCATTGTCTCTCGTAAAAGATTTTGTGGTTCAAGACTGTACACGTATTGATTCCAGCGATATCAGATTCGAAGTGTCCTCGGAAGCAGATACGTCGAGTGTGACGAACAAATGGCTCGTTCAAAGGACCACCGATGGCGCATCGGTTCAAAACACTTCGAGCGCGTACAGCAGTGCCGCATCCAGCGCAATGGGCAATCATAATGCAAACAGCCTGTACATGGGCGATCTCGTCGATAACGGCGCACTTAAGTCCGCCAGTATATTGCTGAATATAGAGGACTTCGACGTCAGCAGAACGAGCCGCCAAGTCTTTATTTAATCGACCATATGCTAAATCGTAGGTACCTCACAAATTGCCCTTTTATTCTAGACGAATAATTTTATATGTATATGTATATCTGTCACAGTAAAAGCGTAAAGTTTAGTAAATGTATACACTTATTAGTCAATGTATGTGTTACTGGTATTTAAAAGTAGAACTAATTACAATTGACGTTTTTAAAACTGAACAGCTTCAGCTAGTTATTTATGCATTTACGTACGATTTTATCAGAAGTATGAACCGAATATAAAAATGTATACTATTTCTAGTAAATACATTCATTTACTAGATAATGCACACATTTCCTATAGCATGTTATCAAATACATAATATCAAAAGTATAATTTTTTTAAAAATACGTATAGAGAATTTAAAGAACAAAAATAAAAATTGAAAGCTTTATTTGATAATTTAGGGATCTTTTTAAGAAAATTTATTGTTTTTACTTTAATAAATATAAGAACATAGATTCCGTTAGGTTATATTTTTATTTAACCCTTTGACTGCGGCGCACTCTCACACGAAACCATCAATATATACGACGCGATGAGTATGTCAGTCGCTAAAAAAAATCTAAATTCTATGTTAGATCAGTTTCGTAAAACAGTAAATGTGTCATAGTAAGAAAAATTTAGAGAACATATATATACGCCTTTTGTATACATATATTGATTGGCATTGAAGGACGTATACATTATCTGTACGCCTTTGGTATATGCATATTGATAGACATGTCAGGGCGTATATGTATATGTATATGCCTTTCGTAGTAAAAGGGTTAATGCATTTAGAAAGAAACAATTATAATGTTCCTGTGGAACCAGTTAAACGTCCAGTGGTGGGGATGACGTCTGAACACTTAGTGTCGAGGAGCCTTCGAGCACTCATCGATGATTTCCTATACTTAAAAAGTATTTGAAGGTTTGCTCTGGATTATTTATTTTTAATACTCGTTACAGTTACCGTTTATTAAAATTAATTTCCTTATTATGAAATACATCTTTCTATTTGAAATTTATTTAAATAAGAAGACACACGTTAGAAATATCTTGATGACTGTTTTTGAATACTTCTTCCTGCAATATTATACATAAGAAACTATTAAAGTTATGCTTCATGAAGGTATACTTGAAATATTTACTAAAAAAATATGCAAATGATGGAATATGTATATAATCTTTATAGCAGATGTAATATACATAACTTTTAATGACAACAAGAAGAGATGTTTGTCATTTTTACAATAGCTTTGAATAGAGTATGTAATAAAAACACTAATAATATGATTAAAAAAAATGTACGAAATCTTTAATGAATGATGAGAAACTGTATACTATATGTATTTCATTTTTACAACAAAGTATTAATGCTTTCGTTTTTCCAATCTTCTGCTCATTCTCTTAATTTTAATACCTCGCGATGATGAGCGCTCGTATGTATAAAATCCTACAGAAAATACCATTAAGACCGTTATGTCCATTATGTCGAACGTGGCTGCATCGCCTACGTAACCTAATCGAATTGTTTTTATCCATTTAGTGGACGAAGCCTTGCTTAGAGTTCGAAGCGGCACCATTTGTTACTGTCTCCTCTACTTGCCAATTTAATACCAATGGTCGCACTAAACTTGCCCCTTAACCATGAACACAATAATCAAAATCATATTTTAAAGGACATTTCTATTTTCCTCACGTCAATAATAGTCATAATTCTCTTAGTACTCTTTCTCACGGAAACTCTCGAATGAATTTTATTTTCCAGGGGGAGTGAAAATAGTCGAAAATCAATTCTTAAAGAACATTTCTTTAAAAACCAAAAGATATCACAATAAAATTGTTTACTGAATTGGTAAATACTTATTATAATTTACAGAAAATTAATCTAAAAAATTACTATTGCATATTTTTCGAGAATATTTGATGAAAGGAAATTATGTATGAAGGTTAAGGGTTTCACTTTTGGATGACTTTCCGAGACATCGTTGAATATAGCTTTCTGTGGGACGTCTCGTTAGGGTCTCCCCTCATTCAGTAGGAAATTTAAACTTGGTAGCGTTACTGAATCACTGCTATTGACCGCAGGGTAGAGAGGGGTGGACAGTCGTCTGTTATTTGTAGAGAATCACCTTTAGTATCCCTCGGACGGTCTGACGCCGTGGTCACTCACGCGTTTCCGCATCTCGAATCTTTTTTTTAAACATTCGCCGACTGTGACCTACCTCTCCGATATGCACAAATGTAAATATCACAAATTGTTCGTCTAAATTTTATCAACGTGTTTACGCTGTTATTTGATTATATGGTGGAACCTCGATTATTTTATATATAGTACATTTAATTCTGTTTTTACACGGTCGATATATTTGCGCAAAATTCGTGTGAAAAAACGTGAAAACGTGCGGAAGAAGACACTATGCATGTGCAAAAATAGAGGATTGCATCCAGACCATAGATACCAGTAAAAATAATACGATAAACTTATTAAAAAATTTTTTAATTTAAAGCAACTAGAATTAAAGTGTTAGTTATTAAAAAAGCAAATGTATCGGACCGTGTGTTTGATCAAAACAAATCGTGCAGAAGGAGCATTCAGTTTTCCTCTGGACCGTGTTAAATCGAAATTGTGTGAAAACAGAATTAAGTGTAGTTATCTGAACACCGGTTACTTGAATGTGTAATTATCTAAATGGAGTTGGTTTTACAAAATTTTAAATCTGTAACGTTGTATAAAATTTAATCAATGCAGTTATTTGGTAACACATCTGCTACAGATTCCCTTCTATTTCTCATATATGTATTCAATGCAGTGTGACTTAATCATTTTCTAAAACCATGTGCTATATTTATTCAACATGCAACAATTGCAACAAATTAAAAACTATTTCAAAATAGATTTTGATTATGAAATAATATTTCATTAGACTCTGGATTTTGTGTTTTTTAAACCATATTTAATTGCTTGAAATTTATTATATTATTTATATTAAGAGTAGTAGAGTAAACAAATTTTTGTTTCCTTTTAGCGTCTATAAATTAATCCTTGAAGATCGATATTTACGTACTTACAATATTCGAATCACTTAATAATAAACTAATGTTATATGGACGGACAATATTTTTCGATTAATTATTATGCATTCTGTGATACTCGGAATGTTACATTTCGGTAATTAAGAGTGCTTGTGTTTATTGTTTTTAAATAACAATTGTATTAAATTGGTGCATATGAAATGTCATCTCTGTTCATTCAATTTTTCAAGAATAATGAGTTACACAATATTTAACTATTTACTATATTGTATCATCTTAAAACATTTTCAAACCATACCTTTAAAAAATTAAATTTACACTTCACCTCGTTGCACGTGAATTCAAAACTTCGTTCATCAAATATGGCAGTACAAATATTAGATGAAATATAGTATGCCAGTTTATCATATATATTGTCATACCTGTTTTAAAATTTGGTATATTTGATTCAGAATAAAGTGTTTCAAAATGATCGATTTGCAAATAATGCTTATATGATAAATATTTACAATAGAAGAGCCAGCTTCGAATTCAATGATTTTTCAATATGTTGTCGGGGTCGTCATCCTGAGTCATGCTGTGATGGTTTTAGTTGAGGGTCGTTGTTTATTAAAAAGTTATTAACAAAAAGATTTCTTCGAAATAGTTTACTTAGTTTTGTTTAATCATTTACATTTTCTATTCCTGGCTATATGTCTGCCATTATTTTGAAAAAAGCAGGTAATCTTTCATCAAAATCAATACAACTATTTCTAACGAACTCTGAATTACTTTTTTTCTTTGACTATCTCTAACCAACTCCGATCAGTATAATGCTTCAGAGTTGGTCAGATACGATTCAAGAAAAAAAAGTCATTCAGAGTTGATTAGAGACAGTTCAAGGAAAAGGCATCATTATTCCCTTAATAACTTTTTAATAAACAACATTTGATAACTGAAACTTTCTGAAGGTTATTCAAAAGGGTGACCTTGACAACATACGTCAAAGACATCGATCACTTTACTTATCAATACTACTAATGTAAATTAAACCCTTCACTACACTACTCAGGGTGACGACCTTGACAACATATTGAAAGATCATCGAAATCGGAAGTGGCTCCTTTATTATAAATATTTACCTCTCATATTAACCCTCCGTAGGCAATGTGGGAGCGTTGACGACCCAGGTGAAATTTAATTTTGCCAGAACTGTCCCCCGAACTTTTATTTTTATTGGAAAAAGTTTTCAACATTTAACTTAACGTACAAGTGTATGATACATTAGAAATTTTCATAAGTATTCTAGAATTTTTTCAAATTTCTCGAAAGCCAAAAAGAGGAAAAAAAATTAAGCTTGGATATAAACGACCTAGGTTGAAATAGTTTCGATTATTTAATTTCGATTCTATAAGAAAATTTCCAAGAATTATACATGGTATTGACAGACACCACGGCTGCAGTACACGATCCCCTAATTCTTTTGAGCAGTGTATTACCCGTTGCTGTGTGTATAAACGATCGATCGACCACCGGTTGTTTCAGGCGCAGAATCAGCAAGCACTCCGCCGGTTCCGCCAAGACGCAAAAAGCGCAAAGCAAAGTTCACCGGGACCGTAAAATCTCCGCAAGGAACGTCACCGACGAGTCTCAACAGACCAGACAGAAAGCGTCTGGCACCGCCGCCGCCGCCGCCGCGAGCGACCCGAAAAGTTAAATCCCACGCTGCTAAGGATCACCGAGAAGAAACGATTTCAAAAAGTCGGACAGCCGAAGAGGCAGAAGAAACTTTGAACAGTCGAAGTTCCACCGAACTGGGGCTGTCTCCGCAGCCTTTGTCCCTGCAGTTTGACGACGTCGACCTAATACCAACCGAACAAACGAATGCAACTGACAAAAATGACAACCACAATGCAGACCACGTCACAAATATGTCAAACGGTCGCCCGTTTCCCATATTCGAGACTCTGAGAACCAAGCAGGACAAGTATCCGCCATTGTTCTTCACTCTACGTGACTTTCAGAAGGTGATGTCTAACACGCTACCGTACGAGGACGACTCGAGGACCGAATCATCCGTCGAGCTGATGACTTCCTTTCGAGACTCTATTCGCGAGTCCTTCGAGCAATCGTTGGACGACGAGGAGAACGACATGTGCTTTCGCGTCACCACCACAAATCTACCGTTCGAGAAGTGTCTGGGTCGTTGGAACGCTGCTTTTGCGGATCGTTTTATCGAGAAGTTCGACGATCCAAATCCTTTCATTTTCGAGGACTATATCGATAGAAGCAACAAGGTCAACATCCGGCGATCGGCTGGCCCGATGTGCCACGATAACTTCGAGGAGAATCCGCCAGCAGTTCCACGTTTGTCCAAGGTGAGATTTGTGATCCAGTCACCGAGTTCCTCGACCCCGGATCATGATCTCAGCGAGGAGGAGGAGGCCGTCTGCGACAGGTCGGAAAATGTCAGCCCTTTCGTGAATGAGGAAGCTGAGCGAAATTACACCACATCTGTGCAGCTGACGGAAATCACGGAGGATATGGAACTGGAGGAAGGAGGTAACGACGTGGAAGGTCAGCAGAATTCCCAGCTCTCCGATAAGCTCGGTGATGTACCTTCCAGTTCGATTTTGAATACTCAGGACGCCTCTGTCGAATGGTCTTCGTTGGAGAACATTTGCAGTTCCCTTGATTTAGTTGATCGAGAATTGTTTGATGAAAATGATGATGCTAGTGGTACTTTAGCAGATTTCGTTTGTACCTCGGCTTCCATGCAGTTGCAAGGAGCATCATTTGGTTCTTCGTGGTCGCCTGAAAAGTTCAAGTCCGTAGATGCAGAGATAGGATTAAGAGAATCAGAAAAAGATTCTTTGCCTGAATGTAGTTTTACGTTGAATAAGAACGAAGGCAATTCAGAAAGGTTGATTGACGATGGTAACTCGGTATTAGAAAGTTCAGTTGATGGTATAGATTGCTTTGAACAATTTGAAGCTAGCACTGATCATATGGGATCACCGATCCAATTAGAAGGATTCTCTGTGAGTGCAAGTAATAATATCGACGTTAGTGAAACTATAAATGAGGATCCATCTGATATTACTGAACAGGAATTGACAGTGAATATAGTAAATACTCATTCTGTGGAGCAAAAATTACTCGCTGCACAAGATTTTGAGGCTAGTGAACGAAAATTGACAATAAACGACACGAAGATTGAAATTGTTGATAGGACGTCGATAACAAATGAACTGGAGAAGAGTAACACGATAGAATCTGTAACATTGAATAATGTAGAAATTTATTTGGGTCAAGATGTGTCATTATCTGAAAAACAATTGGATGATAAAAAGGTGACTCTAATGACCGATTCACTTGATAAGACCACTCAGGAATATAAACGGAAGATTTTCGTCAGTGAATCACTTCGGAATATACTTATTTGTCACGACTTTTCGCCCACTGAATCTGAAGACCAAATTCAGGCTATCGAGCCGAATAACGTCAGTTCAGAAACTTCTAGTACACCTTTAAATAAACCTGCCACAAGTTTCGAAGAGTCTATTGCAAAGCACGGTATGGAAAAAGTGAACAATATTTCAGTTTCTCAAGATGATACTAAAAATAATGAACCGTTTGGGCGGAAAGACAGTATTAGCGTTCCCGTTAACATTCGACGAAACTCATTTTTAGAGAATATGCTCTCTGAAGATGGTGATCAGACCTGGAATATTTCTACAGGTTGCAAGATTGTGGCTACTCATCCAAAATCATCCATGTCAATCACAAATGAAGAATCGATGCCTGTGATTAGAGAAGAAAATAATATAGCATGTAGGTTAAGCGATTCGATAAAAATGGATGCGGAAATACAAAGAGTGTTGCAAGAATCCAAAGAAATCATAAAGAAGGTAGAGACTCCAGTACCGAAACCAAGATCATTTATAAACATCCAACCAAGTAAAAAACATGCTGGCGAGGCAAAGTGCGATGTATTAAACGAATTGTTGTCTAATTTTACCAACATTAAATTGAAACCGGTAAACAACGAAAGACAAAGTAACACTGGGAGTGTGTTCAAACTGGATGATACCCTTGGACAAAATAACGATAATGGAAGAACTGAATTAAAATCAGAAATCTCTATGGAAAGTTCAAATAACAGTTCCTGTAATAAATCTTCTGCACGAAGTAACGATCGAGACCTAAATCAGATACAGAATATCTCTTCGCCTGAACAGATAACTCCGTTTGTTTCTACAATTATCACCACCAGAAATCAAGATTCTTCAAACAATTCCAGGCACGAGCAAGTACCAGTAACTAAGGACGAATCGTCAGAAAAGTATCGGAAATCTCAAAGTGGATTTAATTTTACAACAGAATCGACATCTGGGCTTAGCAAGTCCCTAAAAGCCACGAGAACGAAGATGAACAGCAACGAAGAGATCGTCAAAGTGGAAGTACATAGATCGGAGCAAGACGAGGATAAAGACCGAGGATCGTCAAGAAGCGTGCTTGATGCACGCGTCGAGCTCGGCAGAAGCTGGTCAAAGAAGAATCCTTTGTCTTTAGAAAGAAGCGACAAGATTTTAGATAGCTCGGCGGAATCTCAGCAGATCGTGGGCTGCAGTGAAAAGACTGACGCAAGTGTTTGCATCGAGGAGGAGCTCGATGATCGTGACCACACGGTGATGGGTCAGCCGCGCGAGCGTGGCGATGGACAGTTAGGTTTAAGCAGGAGGACGTGTAGCGGCGACAAAAGTGCCATAGCTAGGAGGATTCCTCAACCCCATTGTAATAATAATGACAATAACAGGGCCGTAACACCCGTAGCTGTAAGTGACGACCAATCCCGCGACACTGTAACAATAACCCCCGGTAGAGTTAGGAGCTTCGTTAAGTACTACGAGATTCGGCAAGAGGCGACGACCGACAGAGATTCTAAAAGTAACGATAGAGATAAAGTAGATAGAGACAAAATGGCGGGACACCAATCGGTGTTCAGCATCCGCAGGGGTTTGGAGGCGAAGGCGATCGAGGATAGATCCTTCGACGCGAGGAAGGAGAACGTTCCGTCGATCCCGGCCAAGAATTCGGTCGAATCGATCAGAAGGGAGAACAATTGCCCTGCTGCGGTTGCAGGAACGCTCGGAATGGAGCAGAAGTTGAGACGATCGAGCGATCGCGTCGCGAGAACAGCGGATGATAAGGGCTTGCAAACGAGGAAGACGGGGGACGCGATGCAGATACCTTCCGGTGATTTGAATCGGGAGCCTGGGAAGGTTAAGAGGAAGAAATCAGTGAAGTTTCAAGGTGGACACACTGTGATCGGTGGGAAATGTTCTCATGACGATGGTTCCTTGGGGAACCCGACCGCGAATCGAGACACGAAGTCGCCGAGAAAGAGGAAGGCTCCCGACAGACCGGCAATTGGGGGGACTGTCTTGAGTGGAACAGTGGATTCGGAAACTGCCGAGCACGAGGAATTTGTGGACGCTGACGCCCGCTCTTTCGATAAACGAGAAATTGCTGATCAGGTTTGTTTAATTAACTTGAAAACGTCTTTGTTGGTAACAGTCGGAGATAATGATATTACTTTTGGAATTCTTTACTTTCACGATTCATTACTTTTAATTTTGTAATTCTATTACATCTATTTATATTTATACGTCATTCTTTTATATGGTAAAGGGCATTCCAATATCGCATTAGGTCTTCTTAAGAAGTTTGCGCCTTGCCTGAAAGTTTAGTTTCAAATAATAGAATTCAACGAGATTGTCACTTACTTGTTTGTTGTGTGTATAGTATGTACTATCGTAAGAAGTGTCGTAAAACAATTTTGCATCGGAAATTTACGAATGTAAATCAGATACGTTAGTTATCGTAAACATGTGAAATAAACTTGACGAAGGAATATATGTGTAGGTATTTTCTGGTTTATGAGGTTAACAAAGCAATTAACGCAACTGGTACAATGGGGGACGTGTCCCATGTGTATATCGAAATTATTAAAGCAAATCGGTATTAAAAACGATTTAATTTAAAAAATAATATAGAAAATTTTATATTATTTGTAAAAAATTATATATATAAAACTTTATATCATGTATACACTTTCAATTTTATATCTTTTATACTTCTGACTGTTTCCTAAAAATGTTTACATATATTATTGATATTTTGTTTATTATATAAGAATAGGGTTTAAGCAAATGATTTTAAGCAATATTAATGAATCCACCTAAATATTTGTCAATTGTTTTGTGTCACAAGTACCTATCTTCGATCGTACCTTTTCAATTACCTTTTCTTTTCTACAAATAATTTAACACCAATAGCTTTTATTAGCGTATTTGTTTGTAATTGTTTCAGAGTTTTACGAAATATAAAATCAAATGATTTAGCAGAAAAGTATACGTAAATGAAAAGTGGAAGGCATTACTTCTCTCTTGCTTTATACATTTCGTGAATTTATACGAACACGTGGCTTGCATTAATAATTATCTCGTACATGTAATCAGAAAAAATGCAATGAAGTTACAAATTTATTTAATTTAACAATAATTTAATTTAATAATTTAAATGAATGACAACTTATTAAATTTCTTTTCCACAGATACCAACCGCAGCAAAAGGCGAGGAATGTTCAGGTATTAACCGCTTCGTTCCAAAACCAGAAACTCCACGCCTCGTATTTTATTGTACTGTATAGTTAAACTGTAGTTTCTACACGTTGTTGTTGTCGTTTCCTCGAATCTCGGAGAGATTTAACCGCGACGTTGCTTCGCGTCACAGCATCATTAGTTTTTTTTGGACGGTTCGTTCGAAGCCTCAACACAAGAACAGATTTTTGGAGTCTTTCGTGAGGTCAGTCTATTTGAATTTGATTTTTTATCATATTAAATGAAATCATATATATTATTACACTGTGTTAGCCACAGAATGATAATACAAAATTAAAAGAAATAAACAAATAATGATGATGATATTAATAAACTACATATAAAGTAGCGAAGTATTTGAGCAATGACGAGGACAATAATTGGACGTCAACCAAATTTACGTGACAATACGAATTCAATCAGTATACAGTTCTGCAAAGAATCCAGAAGCATAAGTAATCATTCCCCAAACATAGTATAATTAAAAACGAATTGAACACGTTAAAATATACTTGGTGTTTCAATAAGTAATCCACTATTTGTAACGAAATCGGTATTCGTTTCTATAGTTTATTATAGAATATATATTTATACATTTATACTCTATGTTTTATTAATATCGTAACATGTAACATTATGTATGATAATTTTCCCAATTCCTAGATTATTTGTGGTCAGCAAAAGAACGGGAAAAAATATGCAATTCAAAATATACGGTCGTATAAAGAATGAGAATATTGGATTACCTATTAGTACCCTTGACATGTACTATGTGCAAGATACACATATAAGAACTTGCATAATCTAATCCATTGTTTCATAAAAACGAGCCATACTTGAGATACAGATTATGTCGAAATTGTATTCCAAGCAGAGGACTAGTAATAACATCCACCAAAGAAATCGAAGTAATGGTTGATCAAAGCCGTGGAAAACATCCCTTACATTATTACCATTCATTTCCCACTCTTTTAACCCTTTCAAGGCAGATTTTGTTAACGATGAACTCAATAGTACAATAGTACGGGCTATAATACACTCAAATATTAAGAAAAAAATAGGTAAAGCATAATTTTGAAAATGAGATATATGTATAGTGTCATTAGCCTTTTACAATGGGATTCTGTGTTCCGATAGATATCAATGGAGACAGCAGAAATAATAACAATTGGAAAATAGTTTTATTCATTAAAATGCCTCACAAAATGGTTAACAAAGTCATATGGTTCATAAAATAAGGTAATTAATTATAATATTACGAATGGTAGGATGTAAAACATTTAATATAGTGTCCAACTCTACGTGAACATACAGTTCTAGTCCATTTTTACACCTTGGATGATAAACACTTAATACATCTCTGTCATTATAAATTATATTTATATATATATATAAATAATTGAATTTCGGAGCATACATCCAAGCAGGCATTGTAGAAGTTACTTTGATACATACTGTCTCATCAGTCTCGAAAGGGTTAACCCTAAATAATATTCTATCATATGTAGGCGAAATTAGCCGAGGCTCCATGATTTTTATTTTAAAAACTTTACAAATTTACCTACGTATCTCTTTATTACATTAATTTGTTACCACTGTGTCCGTTTAACACCGGGACAAATTATGTTGAGAAATATGATAGACGGATGAGGGTTAATACATTTAATAAGCAATACAATCTGAAAACTGTTCAATTCTTCTTTAACTTTCCACATTTTACTATCTGATTACACATAATACATTTTACACGAAACATTTCTAGTGTACCTGAACATTTAGAGTTCAGAGAATCTGTAGATCCTTTGACCGAATTGGTCGACATAAATAAGTCAATCCTATCCAAGTAAAAAAGTAAGGATGGATCGCCTGATTCCAAACGGTTTGGCCCTCCTCTTTTATAGTGCTGGTCGTGATGTTTGATTTTGGTAAGCCGTTTCCGGTAATGTCAGCAGATCCACGACTGCCGGCTTACCGGACGGATTTCGAGTCGCTGAAGATTCAGTGGCGGGCAAACAGATTTTTCGGTCAAGTGCATTAGCTATGAGCACAATGGTCGCGCACCTTGCGCCCTCGGATTTTATTCGATTTACCCAGGAGGCGGACCGTTCCCTCCCGTGTGCCCGGGGTTCAGGTCGTAATTTCTTGCATCATTTTGTCTGACTTATTTTACGTATTTCCGGATAATGGGGCTCCGTCGGATTTATTGGCCCCACGACGAGCGCGAGCGAAACGAATACAAAAAGCGGTGCAATTTGTGGCTTCATTTGTGTCTGAGTTTTCCTTGTGCAATGGAATGATTCAATTTCCGGAAATTTTGGTATTTAACGAAACTTGTTTTTTTTATTACTTTTAAGCGATAAGTGTTGCAAATCTGATGGTTTGGAAATATTTGTTTACTGTTAGAAAATGTTAGGAATATTGAATATTATTATTTTTTAGAGTAGTGGGTTTTTTTTTTGTTAACGAGAAAGGAAAGATGAATTTATTTATCGTAAGTGTGATGACTATATTGAGGATATTTCTGTGAGTTTATACTTTTCTGAATAGATTTATAGAAATAGAATTTCAATATGTATAGATTTTTTTAAGTTTCCACTATAATGAGTGTTGTAAATCTGAAAGTTCGGAAACATTTATTCACTATTGGATAATATTAAGAATAATTGATTAGGATTATTTTCGAGATTACAGTATTTTTTTCGTTGTTCCTTCTGTTAACGAAAACGAAAGATGAATTTACTGTTATGAGCGTGACAACTAGATTGAGAATATTTTAAAAAATTTATACTCTTCTGGATGGATTTACGGCAATAGAATTTGAAAATATGTATGTTCGTTTTTTATATTGAAATTTACTTTATAGTGAATGTAAAATGAAAACTCGTAATCTTCAACTAGATTAATATTTTATTCTGTTTTAAATATTTTGTGCATGCACAAGATTTGAAGTCCAGTAATTTTTATGGAGATATCTATTTAGACTGAAGTTTCTTAAGAAATTATGAAAATTGGTTTACCTCACTTGTTGATTGAAGAATGTAGTATGTGATAATTTTGAAAATATTTTTGACCCATGCATGAGATGGATATCGATTTTTAATATGTATCTACAGTTATATTGATCTTTTATCTCTTGTGTTGATCACAGTTGGTTTAAATCAATTTTTAAAGAGAAATTATTTTCTTTCCATGTAATTCTTAAGTATATATTTTCTGATAAGTTTAAGAGTTTTACGATTTTATATCTGTTACAATTACTAAAGTATCTTATTAGTAATATTGTTTTTTTGCTGTAATAAATATTGAAAGAATCATTTTTTATTAATCAAATTCAGTGTTTTCTGATTATTTCTGTACATACAATTGATTTGAAAGGCTACATTATACAAGGAATAACCTGACAATAATGAGTTGAATTAACAATGAAGTGACAGAGAAATAAATAGCCACAATATTTTTAATTTCTACTTTTAATTAATCTATTAAGGACACTTTATTGTTTTACAGTAGTTTTAAAGTTTAAGATGGTTCAGAATAGGAATATCTAGCTCCGATGACTCTTGATTTTCCTCGACCAACTTTCCCGTATTGAATTCCTTATCGTGGAAGTTATTTAATTAATCTTTCATTGTAAACGATATCAGCAACATTGTACAAAACGGCAGCTGAAGCAGAAGTTATAACTGCCATATTTATACAGTACAGAAGCAAACAATTCAATAACGAGATGCCAGAACTTTAATTGGAATTTCGATGAAAGTTAAATTAAACTGTAATTTAATTTTCAATACTGCCAACTATGTACAATATGATAACTGCATTATGATTCCGTATTTTATCAAATTATTCGTGTTTTAGGAAAATGACAATTTTTACTGTCCATGTTCATTTAAACGTAATTCATCCAATACACCAGAGGGACAATACAAAATTTCAATGACTCTGAGGAAATCATATTGAAAATCACAAAAAAAAATTAATCTGTCTCGCGAACGAAAAATCTGTTCTTTTGTTGGGCTGTTTCTTTTTTTATTTTTAGCACTGTTAGTTTTTGTTCTCCGGCATACTTAGTCCTGTGTGGACATTAAATCGAAACGGCAAACAGCTTTTAGCTCTGTTATTGTCGCTTCCTGGCGCGATTTTATGTGGGAGAACGTTGTGTTTTGGGGCGACACAACGTATCGCAGCATACCCGGTTGTGCCCTGTGCGTATTCTAATTATAACGTGAACAGAGAGTAATTTACGTAGCAGAGTACCGGCGATATAATAATATTACTTGTTGCGCTTGTGCATTATGTACACATGTTCAGCAGATCGATTCAATACGTGTATCGATAGAGAGTGTCGTAAAAAGTACTCCCATTTTGATACTCACCGGTCGCCGTTAACTGGATGAAGTGCAATTAATTCCAGTAATTTCACCTATTTGCGATATTTATCACCAGCAATGTTTAATGTGTCGTATAATTTATTAAACTGATACGAAATATTTGTCATCTTTCCCGAATGTAATTGGATATTACTGTATATTATTTCAAAATGATTGCTATTTGCCGTTGTAATAATAATCATTGATGACTTTGAAGCAGTTTGGTAAAACAGCTTTATTTTCGTGTTTAGACGTTGAGAAATCCTGGAATTTGTGAATTTTGAAATGGCAAGTTTAACGACGGATCTTTTCGGGAAAATCATTCACTGTTAAAATTACTGAAATGAGAGTTTTGTGTTGCGTTCTTTTTAATTTTACTCTTGAGAAAATCTCTCCTTATGCTACGTGTCGACTTGGGGAAGTAATTGTTGAGAGCTGAACTTCACAAGTGAACATACACATGAAACCAACTGTGCGATGACTTATATTTTCATAGCAGAAGTGAAGACAGACATTGAAAACTACTTTCTCTTAAATTCTACCTATTTTGAGAATACAACTCAGAGTTTTTTATTTTTATGCGAAGACTTTACTTTTTGGAGTAACTCTCATGTAGACACGTAGCATTTCGCTTCAATTTCTACCATTCTCGAAAGTGTAACTCACAGAACTTTACTTTCAAGAATACCTCTTATGTGGAGACATAGAATTACTCTTCAATTTCTCCCAATCTCGTGAGTGCAACTCACAGAACTTT